CAGGAGATAAATTTTCAGTATCAGAGATAATTTTTCCTTGTTTATTTCTTTTTCTTTTTCTTTTTTTTTTTTTTTTTTTTTTGAGAAACGTAACCACCTGGATGAAAATCTCTTATTATTGCTGCTTAAATTCTTATCCAGCAAAATTCCAAATTTCAACAGTAAAAATTCTTTGCATTCAGAAGAAAAGATTGAGGATTTTTCAAGAAGCACATAAAGACAAAGTTGGGGTTTTTCTTTTATTGAGTCTTGCAAACTACTTCCTGTACTCCCTCTATTTGGCATTCAAAGATTAAGTTAACTTTACGCATGAGTACAAAAGAGAATTAACACATTTGACATGAAAACAATGGACAAATGTTTAATTTGGTGTAAAACACGACTTCAACAAGTACCATAACCATGTGATTAGAGTTGCTTATTACTGGCCTCCTGCCTTCAGTATAATGCATTAAATGTACAAAAATATATAACTGCTTACTTACCTAGTGATACTGCCTTAACAGAGACAGATCAGGCTTTTCAACATAAAGCTGCTAATATGAAAGAATCAATTTGAATTCTGCACCTATTCTTTTTTAATTCAGTAGTTTTTTTAAGCCTTAAAATATTCAGGCCCTTTGTTACTTGTATACAAGTATCTGTCAGCTTAAGTGACAAACTTCTGCTTAGTTTAAAAACATTTAAATCCAATTTCCACATATTCAGAGTGCAGAACTAATTTAAACAACCTACTCACATGAGAAGATTTTATACTCATTACTCAAACTAAATGTGACTTTCTTTGCAGAGTTTAAAATCGAGGTATATTTTTTAAAGGCACAAGCTCTAAACAGTGCTCTGTAAGAGATTCCCTTTTGTTTCCCTGGCAAAAGAACCCATTTAAACCACTAGATGCTGGTATTTTAAATTGGTACAAATATTTGTCTTAGCAAGATTTTCACAGCACAGACCTTACTTCTTTTCCATCTCTGGGAAAAGAGCTGCTTGGGAGTGTGATTCTATCTCAGGAAACCATTTAAGTAGCTGTGAATAGTTAGAGACTGCTGTGACCAGTCATTCTTTCCATCTTTTCTAGAGACCCACAGACCTCTAAAAGGAGAGTAGAAGAGGAGTCAGCAGTAATACCTGCCTGCCTTTTGAAGTGAAGGCCAACCCTACTCGCATGGGATGAAAAGTAGTATCCGTTAAAAAAAGCCCAACCTTTCTGTGTTAAGTACAGTTTCTCTCTAATCTTAAAAACTTAACAATGTGCTTGACAGGTAATGAACATTCCAGATCTTTTTTTATATGAATTTTATATGAAAAGTTCCTTTTAAAGCAGAGATGGTGAGTTCGCAACACAGTCCATGCATGTTACAGTTCTCCTGGTTAGTTGACAATAAAAAATAAACCAAGAACAAGCACAAGAAAAACAGAAACATTTTTAGTGTATTTTGTGTTAACTCTGAAGAAGCCCTACATATTGTTTACAAGTTTAAAAAAAAATTCAGTACATTCCAAAATTTGAGAAACTGTAATATTACCTGATACTTTTGAAACCGTAATAAGTTTAACATTCTTTCACATTTATAGCAGTGCACAATGAACAGTGACATTCCTTATCTTCATATTATTTACTTTCACCATCTTTCTCTTCTTCCTCAAAATTAAAACAAAAGGCTTTGTCATAGCCCATGAGACGGTTATAATCCTGAGGATCTGGGAAAAGCGTTGGATTAACAAGCATTGATTTAGTTTTAGCATAAAATGTTGTAAACATCTTGGTGATGTCTGGAATCTTTACATCTTTCTGATGGAAGACAGTTGCTTTTTCTGCCAAGATTGCATTGTATGTAATAGCTGTGTATGTGTCCATTTCCTCTTTATAATAGAGTCGAATTACATAGCCCTTTGTGAGGATATGCAAAGTAACTGGAGTAACAAATGTAAAAAATCCTATCAACCCATAAAATGCGGCTTGTAGAAGCAGGCTGTCAAATCCAATACCAGTTTTCAGCATGAGGTAAGGCACCATGAACAGGTTAAATATGCTGGTGGAGTAGGAGAAAAATCTCACACCTACATAGAACAAAAACAAAAAACCAAGATTAATACCAGAAATTAAAATTTTCTCTATAATTACCTATGTCCTGCTGCTACAAATTTTTGTCATTACTTGAACACCTAAAATTATAGAAAAGCCTTTTTTAAAACACTCTCAAATAGAAGAAGCCATTAACAAGTACCGGGAGGTCCAGACCTCTCTTCCTGCCACTCTCAAGGCTTGTTGTATATATGCTGGGTTTAATCAAAGCTAGTAGCTGGGTTTATTTCTACAATGAACTCTGCTATCATGCAATTATGCAGATGTATGCATTTATCACTTCACAGACAGGAATTACAATTAAAGAGATGGCTGGGCACTTCCCTCTTCATCAACAACCACATTAGACATTCAGTGTGCATTAAAGAAAAAAGTTTGCTTGGTCCCCCACTGTGTTTAATTTGAAAAATGTAGGTTATTGTACATTCACAAGCATTCTGCAGCCATCTTTGCATACAGCTTGAAAGACAGTGGCCGCTGATATCAATCACCCACCATCCCTGAGATGCAATGAGAACCAGTAGTCTAAAGATGCTGTGAAAATTGAATGTATCAGGGCATGCTTCCCCCTTCAATTCAAAAATGTCCATCAGAAAACATCAGTGAACTACTTTTTGCTAAGCCTTTAGAACATTAACTGGTCAAAGAGAGATTAACCAAAGTCTCATTACAGACAGCACTTTTGTCACTTCAGTGACATTTAAAAGCATACAGAATGCAAATATTAGTTACAGTTGGTCAATGTTGGATAATCACTCGAAAGGCTGCAAGAGAAACAGAAGCAGGCTGAGGGATTACAGTCGCACTGTATCTTCAGAACTCCCTGCAGACCTAAAATTAACTGAAACAGAAACACTGTTAACATTAATTGTTATACGCCACAGAAGTATAAAATCAAGCATCGCAGCAAGATATCTATTCTTGTTCTGTACAGAGATTTGGCACAGTTGGAAAGAACACTTGCTTTCTTACTGTTGGATTTAAATATTTTAAATATTAGGAAAAAAAAGCAATAAAGATCCTTTCAAGTTACACACCTAACACTGCTTTTGCTAAGTTTCCTTTATAAACCAATCTTCCATGTTCTGGGTGGTCAGAAGGGGCAGATGTGCTGAGGCTGCGAACTGCTACCCCTTGAAAAGATGCAACCTGGAAGATGAAAGCAAAATCAGTATCAGCACTTCAGAGAATCATGGAATAGAATCATTAAAGCTGGAAAAGATCTCTAAGGTCACTTAGTCCAACCACCAACCCACCCTTCAACCATACACACTAACCATGTCCCTCAGTGCCACATCTAAGCATTTCTGGAACACCTCCAAGGACAGTGATTTCACCACCTCCCTGGGCAGCTTTCTCCAATATCTCACCACTCTTTCTGAGAAGCTTTTCCTAATATCCAGACTGAATCTCCTTCAGAACAACTTGTGGCCACTACGTCCACAGAAGATTCTCTGTGTCCTGAACCTATTCCCAGCAACCTGAATTAGCCATTAAGGTTGGGTTATTTGCTGCAGGATCATTTAGACTGGAAAAGTCCTCTAAAGGTCATCAAGCCCAATCGTTAACCTCACACTGCTACTAAACTACATTCCTAAGCATCACATCTACACATCCTTAAACAACTCCAGGGATAGTGACTGCTTCCCTGGGCAGCCTGTTCCAAAGCTTCACAACTCCTTCCGTGACGAGTTCTTTCCCAGTATCCAACCCAAAACTCCCTGCACAACTGGATTAATCACATCCTCGGTCCTGCTGGCTTTGTAATTTCTGATACGGGCCAGGATGCTGTTGGTTCTTCTTGGTCACCTGAGCACATTGCTGGCACAGTACAGCCCAGCTCACTGTATGACACACTGCGCTATAACCTGCAGTCCTTTCTGCACACAGCTTTGCAAGGAGGCAGTCACGACCTTTACCTCTCACTACCCCAGTCAGAGACCACTATCCCGCAGCAAACTTCGTGCCAAGCGAAGCTGAGAAACCAAGTATGCCTACCCAGCCTCTCCATTACGTTCCTATTTCTCGCAAAGCGCAGCCAACCCGAACCCCTTCCCCTCCCAGCGCACCTCGGGGAGCGCCCCGCAGCCGCTCCACAGCCGCTGTCCCCCCGCGGGCAGAGGCTGGGGGAATCCCAGGCGGCGACTGGCAAGCGGGAGCCCACGGTGAGCCGCACCCCGCAGCCAAACGGGGCCGGGCCGAGAGACAGCGGCACGCCAGCAGCCGGCGGCGCGGAGCAGCATGGCAGCCACGGCCCGTTCCGCAGCGGCCGGCAGCGAGACGCGTGGGGAACGGAACGAGAACGGCGCGGTGCACCGCCGCAGCCTCCGCCGCCGCCGCGCAGCCCGAACCTTTGGTTCCGCCGCAGGAAAGGCCCGCCCGGCTCTCACCCGGCGGTGTGACGGAGCCCGGGGCTGCCGCTGCGGTTATAACATGGGAATGTCCGGGCAGCTGGAGGCTGCAGGGCCGGGAATGGCAAAGCAGCGTAAAACGGGCTGAAACCGTTGTGCTACGCAGGAACCCTCCGTAAAATGGCCGGGCTGTGCTTTATGGGGCTCTGCTCTGACCTAACGGACCGGCGGTGTTTTGAAACCGAGATGCGCACAGATAAGCGTGGCGGCACGTACCCAGGGCCGAGCGGCCGGGGTAATCCCGGCGGCTTCGTGGCTGACGGCTGTTCTTCGGTCCGTGAGCGCCAGGGCGGCCTCACCGGCAGCTATCGGGCACGCTCGGCCTCAGCCGTTCCAGCCGGCCCCGCGGCAAACCTTGCCCTCGCACCTCGCCCGCCTTGCGGACAACATGGCGGACAACGCCTCCCCCCACATAAACTACAGCTCCCGTCATGCCCCGCTCCCGCCGCGCAGCACGCCGGGAGCTGAGCGCTCGCACGCCTTCCAAGGGCAGTGCGCGGGGGGCCGGAAGTGCGCCGTGACCCAGCGGAAGCGCTTGGAAGGCAGCTGGCCCGATACGGCGGGGGCCCTGCGAGCGGGGCGGAGGGAGCGGCACCGACCGGTGAGTGGTTGGAGAGGCCTCGCTACGGCCGCCTGGGAGGCGTCCGCGGGGTCTGCCGCTGGGAGAGCAGCGAGCCTCGCTGCTCGGGGCGGGGAGCCCGGAGTGCTGAGCGGAGAGGCCTGGAAGAGCCGGGGCGTGTGGGGAGGAGGCGGGGGTGCGTGCGTGCACGGTGGGGGAGGCTCGCTGCTAGGGGTTCACTGCTGGGCTGGGGTTCCCCTGCCGGGTGTGGGCTGGTAGCGTTTCTCCTCTCTGTAAAAGCCTCCCTGGATTCCACACGTGCCGGGAAAGGGGCTTTCCAGAACGCTGTTGTAATTAAATATCACTCTTAAACTTTTTCCGCTACGAATGACGTCCACCCTCTTCCTACGCCATGCCCTAAAGAAAGGGCAGTAACTAAGGCCGAAAGAATTTAGGATGCGGCCTGTGGGGTTGTTGTGCCAAGGTGCAAAGTGCCGCTTGAAGTGCTTTGGCTGTAAGGGTCGGTGAACGTAAGCAAAACAGGACTGATGGGGAAGAGCGATTGACTGACATGTAGTAAAGGAAACGTGCTTCTGAACCGCCCGTTTTGGGTTTTGTTTTTCTGTAGGTGACGGCGAGCTTTGATAAGTTAATGATGGCTTAGTACCTTGTACCTTAGTACCATGTGTGAAAAGTGTGATGCTAGCAGGCAGCTTTGAGTGCCAGTGTTACCTATAACGTGTCGTACAGTTTGAAGGAGCTTTAAAGATGATTAATATTGTAGATTGCAATGCGAGCATTGTGCTATAGGGAGATGTCATTGTTGGTTTGCTGTTTAGTTGGGTTTGCTCTGGTTTTGCTGTTGCAGAACTTCAGTTTGGAATGTAGGTATAAACATCTTGGAGACCGTTAGGATAAAAGGAGCTTTGTGCCTGTATTTATGAATATTCTCTTCTGTACTCAAGCTTCCTCCTTTTGTATATGCTAAGAACAAAAATATAATTGGGAGAGAAGTGCAATTTATTAATTGAAAGGGTCCTTAGGAACACAGAAGTGTTTTTCTGTAATACATCTTGAGATCAGTTATCTAGTGTGTAAATATATCTTTTTTCCCTATGATTTTCCCTCAGAGAAATTTAAGATACGTGATCTTTAGAAGCTTTCATCATTTCTGGCATTTCTTTGTAATAGAGAAAAGTCATGTGAGATTTTTTCTTTTTAGTACTGAAATGGTGATGAAATTAGGTACAAAATTTCTTATATTCTTAATGTGAGGAGTTAATGCTGGTTCACTGAGGAGATCCAGTTTTGTAAGGTACACTCTTCTGTCTTTCACTTTTGTAAATTTTTCCTGATCCGTTTGCCCCTTATGCTTTCTATGGGAATAAATTAATATCTTTTGAAAGCTTGCTTAACTTCAGATGTTTTTGCTGTGTTTTTTTGAATTCTCGGTGTATGCCCTACATTTTGTCCCAGAAATATTTTTCTGAATCAGAGTAAAATAAAGGAATCTTCATATAGGATTTTTACAAGTTTTCTTGCCTCTGGAAAGGCACAGAATGTAGTTACCGTTGTTGTGGGGTAGTTTGCATAATTGTAGTTTTTGATGAATGCTTATAATGAGAGAACAGAAATTGATACTGTATTAAAAATTTGGAATGTGCAAGCAGCTTTATTTCCTCTAACAGCTACAGATATAAAGTAGCCAAGGCTTTCCTTCTATATTAGGGAGAAAACTGTAACACTTGCTTTGTTTTTTTTTTTTCTCTCTTGGGAATTACTGGAAAAGAAAGTTTCCTAAGAAAAAAGAGTACCTTAAATAAAGTGAGGCCTTTGATACTCTATACGTGGCATCCTAGCTTGCCTGTTTGTCTGAACTAGCATTCACCTTTAGTGTACCTTCCTAGTAAACTGGCTGATCTGGCAGTCTTGCTGTACCAGTTTCCTCTCATGGTTTTTCTAAATATATTTCAATCCATATTTACATTATTTTTTTGTGTGCTCTAAACAGCATATACTAAACTGAAGAGTTGTATTTGTAAACAAGCTTCTGTTTAGGATCTAGAATAGGATTATAGTTTAGGATTAAACAGTAAGACACTATTGATTTTGCATGCAGTGGCCTTTCTTTGCTGAAGAACTCTTCCTGATTTACAAATGACACTCAGAAAATTCCACATTTGACTTCTCAACAAACCCAGGAATTGTGAAGGCATTTTTGTTATTTGCCCCACATTTTCCAAAAAGTTGATCTCACAGAATACAAAAATGTCACCAACTGAAGCGTACAAAAGACGTGTGTGTGCTTGTATTGCACAGCTAAAGAGTTGGAAGCCTTTCGAGTTACCCTACACCAGAATCTGAGTTTCAAACATTTTTCTGTGGGAACAAAGAATCTGAGTGCTTGCAAATGTTTGCATAGATTTAAGTTTCTTGTGCTAACTGGACTAAGAGGATGATGTTCTGGAATGTGTACAGCAGTTGTGTGTGTTCAGTTTAATTAACGTATGCCCATCAACTATATTTTTGTCTCCCAGGCTTAGAAGGTGTAGAAGGAGGTGATGTTCTGAAAATTCTGGGTGTGTTGGTTGACAAGCATGCAGTTTTGGGTGTAAGTTAGGAAAGGGGTCATGGGCTTTTTTTTTTTTTTTCTTACATTTGATGCTCAAGAGAAACAAAAAGAAAAAACTAAACTCACTATACCGTATCATTTCTTCTTGGGGTTGTGAGGAGGTAAATGTATTCAAGCATAGGAACAGGAACACTTGCTTTTTGTTGACAATTATGGTGGTTTATGATTCTTAGTTATATTCTACCTCAACGTGTAAATCTGTTACTGCTTCCACTAACTCTTGTGTAAGCTCATGAACCAGGAAGGGAGTTGACTGAAGAAAACAGGCTGTGGTTCGTGCAGGATCACGTTAACAACATCTCAGATAACTTGGGTGTAGTTGTTGGAAAGAAGATGCGTTTCACAAAACAATCACATAGAACTGAAATATGTTCAGATCTTCATAATGACACACATGACACTTCTTGATCCAGAAGAGGAACCAGTACTTGCAAACAGTTTCTTAGTTTTGTTATAGCTTTTCCAAGTTTCCTATTTTCCTTTGCTTATTTCTTCTATTGTTGCATTGACCCTGTGATCCTTTTTTTGCTCTTCACTGTCCGTATTCTGTCAGAAGAAAATCTATACAACCTCTCTTAGTCACAATTATCACTTCATATATTTTTTGGAAATTATACATTGTTATGTCAGAACAGATGAAGTGAAGTGGAACCAAGGTCTGTCCCTTGCTTCCAAGGTGAATGTAGTGGGATGCATGATGTTACTTGCTTAAAAGTAAGTAGGCTTCCCAAGCCTTCTGCTTTTAGCAGTGGTATGTTGGTTTTGTTCTGTAGAATCATAGAATCACAAGGTTGGAAAGGACCTACAAGGTCATCTAGTCCGACCGTCCTCTCATTACCATTGCTACCACAAGCAACTAAACCATATCTCACAGCTCCTCATCCAGACACCTCTTGAACACTGCTAGGACAGCGACTCCACCACCTCCCTGGGCAGCCATTCCAGTGCCTGACCACTCTCTGAAAGAAAAAGTTTTTCTATGCTATTATTATTATTATGTTATTCTATTTATTAGCAGTATAAATTTTATTCTTTGTTAATACTATTATGTTCATTAGTTGGACTTAAACTAAGGCATAATCTTGGCATGCTTTTCCTTCTTTGCTTATCCGTTTGATGAATTGTATTTGTCTTCATTTTGCTAAGCCGAACAAGCAAGGCTTTCTAATTTTTTTTCACTATACAGCAAGCTTTTTGGTCATGTTGTTAGCTCCTTTCTGTAGTGTTTCCAATTTAAACTACTTCTACCTGGGCTACTTCTGCCCAGGTAGCCAAGAAGATCAATGGCATCCTGGCTTGTATAAGAAAGTATATAGGCAGCAGGAGCAGGGAGGTGATCATGCCTGTGTACTCAGCTCTGGTGAGGCCACACTTCAACCACCATGTTGAGTTTTGGTCCCCTCACTACAAGAAAGACACTGAGGCCCTTGAGAGTGTCCATAGAAGGGCAACGAAGCTGTGAGGGATCTGGAGCCCCATCCAACCTGGCCTTGAATGCTTCTAGAGAGGGGGCATCCACAACTTCACTTGGCAACTTGTTCCAATGTCTCACCACTCTCACAGTAAAGAATTTCTTTCTGATATCTAGTCTAAATCTATCCTCTTCGAATTTAAAACCATTTCTCCTTGTCCTGTCACTACATGTCCTTATAAAAAGTCCCTCCCCAGCTTTTCTTTAGGCCCCTTCTGGTTCTGGAGGGCCACTGTAAGGTCCCCCAGAAGCCTTCTCTTCGAAGAAGATAATGAAATTTCATAGAACTTCATTTCATGTGCTGTTTCTCAATACCAGTGTATCACTTCTTTGTGTGATGCTCTGTTCCCCTTTTGTTGCAGTGCCTTCTACTTCTGTCTTATCTAAATCTGCCTACTTTTGTTTTGTTTTTGATGTTGTTGTTTTGTTTTTTTTTTTTACAGTGTTGTTAGAATAACATGCTTAATGTCATTTTTGGAGGACCTAGTAGTTCTTTTCACTCTAATTGTTGCACATTTGTGTCATCCTACTTTATTCTATTAGATAATGTTTCTCATAAGGTTATCCTCTTATCACATTTGTTTAACACCAGATGATTTGCCTTGTCCAAGATCCATCTAGTTTCCCTTCCTTTCCTGTTAACAAGGAAATAACAGATTCACTTCTTAATGTTAGGTTACTTTGGCATGCTAATCCTTACTGCATTTGTATCCTGTTTTACAGTTGACTGCCACTTCTGACCATTGGTTTTTTACACTTGGAGTGCTAATAACTGCTATTTTTTTCCTCTTTCATCATATGATAACACATTCCATTTGACATTATTAAAACGTTTACTGTGGGATTTTTTTTTGCAACAGCTCTAATATTTTGGTGTAGACATTATTTCAGTTTCCCAGCTTTAATCTGTTAGCTCCCTTAGGTTGTACACGGTAGCCTTTTTGTTCCCGAGTAATCAATACTCTCCAGCAGGACAATTTCCATTTCCAAACTAGTTGGAACAGATGAAAGATGCTATTGGTTTTATGCTGTTACTATTCCAGTGTTCAAATATAATTTCCATGGAGGAGTTACAGGAATTATTGAAAACGGTGAAAGCATTTAAAGTTTGATATTACGGAATGGCAGCCTACACAAATTAAGATCATTCTTGAACATGCCTAATGTTCAAGAAGTTTTTACATGGAAGAAGATTTGAAGTATACCAATGGGAAAGGAAAAAAAATAAGGTATTTCTGTGAAGTTGGAATAATTTTCAAATACAACAGCAAAGTAAAGAGGAGATGCTTTTTGCTCAGTGTTCTGCAAACACTTAAAAACTAGTCATGAATGGTTAATTATACTGAAAGTGCCTTCTTGTGAGAGCTTGAGTAACCATTGGGATTATTTCATACTTCCTTGCCTGAAATGGTTATGAAAAAAGGGAGATAGAAGAAATCAACACAGCTCTGAAATACTGTTGAGAAGTGAAGCTATCTGCAATAGCAAGGAGCTGCAGCTTCCAAGGATCTGAATCTGTTGACTTTGCTTAGGAATCTCTGTAAAACTTCCTCCTAGTCCTTCAACTCCCTCCTCAACTTGCTTATTATTTTAAATTTTTTTTTGGCCCCAGCTTTTACCACAAATAGAAGAGGGAGGAAATGTGGGGAGCAGTTTCTTCTGCTTTTTCACGCCTTCTTGGGATCCTTCTCAGTAGTGAGTAATAGCAGCTCATATGTCTGCTGTTGCTCATTGCTTTTCGTAGCAATCTAATGAATTATCAGAATTCTTAACAGACTTTTTGCTGCCCCAACCCCTGGGTTTCTACCGAATAACTACCCAGAATCCCTGGTCATGTTTTGCTGAACCTTTGGGCATGCAACAGTACGTCATTGATTTGTACTGCGTTAATGTTTGGAGAGTAGCTGTAGACACGAAAGGAATTTTAGGACAGCAGGTGGGTGGAATTTCTCTTTCATAGTTTTCTTTGCCACAGCAGAGATGCAGCTCAATATAGAGAAATACAAGTTGAATCTGAAAATACTGGATTTGTTTTGCAAATAAGTGCTTTCATTTCTATAATTCTTTGGAATCATGTTCGTGACAAATAACATCTGCAGCAAGCTGAGTGTCAGTTTATAAGCTCTGGAATTCCTGGTTAACTTAGCATGTGAATACCTACATTAAATATCTGGAGTAGATTATCTAAATGACACTGGGGTATGTGTCAGGAACTCTCAATCTTTAGGAAGGACGGCTTGGAGGGCCAGGTACTTAATGCACACTGATCAGATTGTTTGTTGAGCCTTCTCTTCTTCAGCCTAAATTCCCCAGCTCTGTCAGTCTTTCTGTGACTGACAGATGCTCCAATCTAGGATGCATTTGAGTGTATTTTGCACTGAGGAGGCCAGACCCAGACCAGTACTCCATCCCTGGAATGATCAGGGCTGAGTGGAACGAAAGGATGCCTTTGCTTAGTGTGCTGGCAGATCTCCTCTCAATCAGCCTGGATGGTCTTGTTCTTCCTTGCTGCAAGGGCACGTTGCTGGTTTGTGTTCTTGCCATCCCACAGCTTGTCTACCAGCACCCTTTGACCGAGACACTGGTCAGACAAGTCAGTACTGGTGCATGGTGTAATTCTTCCAAAGGTGCATTTGCCATTGAACTTTGTAGAATTCCTGTTTGCCCTTCACCAACTTGTTGAGGTGTCCAGTGAATACTAGGACACCTATATGATGCAATAGCAGCCCCTCCTGTATTCACAATATGCTGAACTGTTGTCTGACTTTTCTTCTGTAGACACAATGTTTATTCTCTTTAGTGCCTTCTGTGCTGTGGCAGAACTTGCTCTCTTTATCTCCCTACTACAGCTGCATGGGTGGTGCCTGTAATAGTAGAAGTGTAACAGGCTCCTGAGGTAACCCTGGCTTGATGGTCAATGGCTTTTAAAAACCTTAAAGAAACACTTTCTTTGCAAAGCAACAATTTGGAGATTGTAGAATATGGTAAGCTGGCGGGGATATATATAGCCAAAAAAACCCTCAAAAAACAACAAAACCACCGACAAACCAACAATAACAAAAACCAACCCAAACCAGGAAACACCAGTTTCAAAACAGTGTTTAGTGTGCATGACATTGCACGCTTTGTGTCATCATATTCTTTTTAATAGCCTTTATGATAATGTAAAGGTTAATAACTAGTGCTGACTTAAGAAATTGTATTAGTGACTAAAAACATTGCCTCGTGTGTTTTCAGACGCTCCTATTGCAAAAGCTGCTGTTGAAAAGAAATAATTTTTTTATAAGAAGAGAATGGGTAAGTGGATTATTCTTAGATTTTTGTTGCTGTTTCTCATGTGAAACATTTTAGCTCTTAAACTGCTAAGAGGGGTTGGACTATAAGACTCTAAATGTTGATCTTGTAGCTTTTTTGTGTGTGTTGTTTTTTTATTGTAGCCTGAAAACTTTGTGGAACTTCCAGCTAATGTAGTTTTTAGAGGATTTTTTTTTGTGTGAATGTTGTTTATTGAGATGAGTATATGTCTAACAGTAAAATGTAACTTATCTTAATATGCCAAATGATGAAAATATATGTGCTAAAATAGGATGCCTTTAGGTTTTATAGCACAAAACTTTTAGCTAGGGGACAAGAAAATTTTCCTATGGACATGCAGAAATTTCTCGTATTGTTTGCTAAGGTCAATCTGCTTAATTCTGGCTAAGAGGTCATAATAAGGACTGACTGTTAAATTACTGTATGTGTGTGAAACATGGCTAATTGAGCCTTTCATATCTTTCTCACTACAAATGATGGTTAATGAAACAAGGTTGGAAAGATTCTGGTGCTAGCTATACTTTTTCTGAAAGTATTTTAGCATCTTTGGCACTGATGGCAAGTTATTAAAATTATTAGTAACTATATAGTAACTTTATTCTTATTTCAAATTTATGTAACAACTTAATTGATGGGAAGAATATTATATTTGCAATAGCACCAGATACATGTAAGATAATATATTACAGTTAATGTAATTTATATTTTCTTTGTTTTGTCAGAAATAAAAACAGCACTAATGGCCAGATGTCAAGTTTGTAGTTTGTTTTATTTCTGTACTCATGCATGCAATGATATATTGGCAGTGGATTACTTTTCTAGAAGGACACAAATATCATCTGATTTTCCAAGCTGTTAGAACTTTAAAGACTTCCAGTTTTACCTTACTGCCAAAATTAATGCTGTCCTTAATATTTAATCTTATGTGCAGTATCAAACTCAAGTATTAATTTCTAATAGAACTGACGCAATACTTAGTGTTAATGGCTCTGTACTCCTTTAGAAAATATGGTATTTGAAATACAACATTAACTTTCCAATCTGAATGTGATATAAATTGTATATTTATTGAGTTGGGGCTTTCTTTGCACTTTAAACAAAAGGGGAAGGAAGGTTTAAAGTTATGATGATCTTTATTACAGTTTACAGGTGTGCATGAAGAACATCTCCAAAGTCATCTTGGTGCTGAGCATGATGTGGGTACAGAGTAGTCAGTGGTTCCTACCCCAAAGAGCATGTTGCCAAAGCAGATAGGCAGGTACACAGTAAGACAAAAGAGAGGAGACAGGAAAAGCATAGTCAAAACTTATGGGGAGACTTCACAAACTTACTGGGTTTTTGTGCTTTCTTACCAAAGTCACAATATGAGTTTGACTAAATGACTAATTTTCTTAGTCTGACTGGCAGTGAGCAAGGAATTAATTCAATTTCAATTTTCCAGCACAGAAATACGTGCTTTGACTGCTTTCATTCCTACTGTGCTTCAAAAAGCATTTTTTCCTTACAGGTTGTATTTTGAAATATTAGATATGTGTTTAGATGACTTGTAAGTTATAAGTATTAGCATGCCAGATGTGGCAGTCATTTTGTGAATGAAACAAGTAGCATGTTCTTAAAATGAGTAAATTATTTTCACTTGAGAATTCATCTGGAGGAAATTTTTTTTCCTACACAGATTGCTGAAATCATGTCAGAATTTGGTGATGGACAGAGGGGAGATGTTAATCAAAATAGATGCATTTTTCTAAAAATTCCTCTTCTGAAATAGGTTACCAAACTTTTCGGAGAAATCTTGAAAAATGCAAATATTTACCTTATTTTTGGTGGTCTGCAATGGTTCTTCTGTCTGCAAATATAGTCAAAGGAAAGGTTGAAGCTTGCATTCTTGGTAATTGGAATCAGTCATTGTATACTGAAACTGTTGTTTTCCATCACAGATGGAGAAGAGAAAACATACGGTGGGTGTGAGGGCCCAGATGCTATGTATGTGAAGTTAATATCTTCTGATGGCCATGAGTTCATTGTAAAAAGAGAGCATGCATTAACATCAGGAACAATAAAAGCTATGTTGAGTGGACCAGGTAAGTATAACAGATGTAATACCCTCATGTCCTTCTCTTTCTCTGTTGGACTATTCGAATTTCTATTATATAGTGAGCAAAAGCTGGAGCAAATAATAACTTGTTTAAACCATTACTAATTCCATTTCCATTGGAACAGTCCACCTCTGTGGAGTATTGTATACCATATAATTGAACTCCATAAGTTTCTGGACGGCTAGTAATTTTATGATGTTATTACTACCGTTTTCCTCTGTTAAATATACTTGAGGTCATTGTATGAAGCTTGCAGCTGACTCCATTGCCACCTCAGTGGTAGAACTTGAAGTATTCACAAAGTCTTTATGGTAAGGAGTACTTGAGCTTAATGGCACAAGTTAGTGTAAGTTGAAGAAGAGAGAAATTGACCAAAGGGAAAGCCCTCACGTGTTCCTAGGTATGTGAGACTACTTCTGTTTTAAGAAGTGTTTGAACTAATCATTGAAGCATGAAAGGGTGGAGAAGAGAATGAGAAATTGACTTGCATGTCTTCCTTCTTCTCTGCCCTTGTCCCATACAATTACTTTTGGCTTGTCGAGTAGCAGTAGGCTGTATCGACTTCTGATCCAAATACGGTCATTCTTTTTTTGATTCTGATGAATGGAATTGCTGGCAACATCTATTTGCTGAATATACTTTCAAATTACTCAATAATAGTTGGAAAAATTAATCAATTAAAATTCTCAGCTTAATATTCTGTAATATGAACGTGAAAATACGTTGCAGACCCATTGTCTAATTCACTCTGTATCTGCCTCTGAGGTGTGCAAGAAGAGTAGTTACAAAACCTGCTCCAAATTTGTTCTGTGATCTGTAACAATATGAATAAATAAAAGGCAAAGAGGGCTAGAAAAGTGACTCTGTAAAGGAGTCAGCATTTAAGCATTTTTTACATAAAAATTTGCAAGATAAACAAGTTTGCAAGTAAAATTATTCTTACTGTCTACAGGCCGTAGTTTCACTGACGTGTAAGTGTTCTCTATTTCAGTATTGTGACACTGTCAATATGCTAACAATTGTGTTGCTTTCTACTGTTTCTATTATAGACTTCAAGGCAGATTGGCTTCAGTATGTGTGTTCAGATATTTCTACACAAATACATGTAGCCATTTGTAAATAGCTCTGCATTGTGGTTATTATGAAAGGGATCCCTACAGAGATATCCCTATAGAGATAACTACATACTTCTAGGTCACCTATAAATACGGAGTGTATGTTAGTGGGCTTTGTATTGTCTTTCAGCTTAATAAGCTTAAAGTTGAGAGACAAAAACAGTGACAAATACAACAGTAGAGGAAGGCTGTGGGACTAACAACAGGATTTTGTATCCTCTGTTTCATGCTTAGAGGGCACAGAAGAAAGGTTCAAATATACTTGTGTTTTGAGATTTGAGCTTTGGATAAAATGTTCAAATCTAACAGGAATAAACTCTTACAGTATGTAATGTTTCCTGCGGTACAACTAGGGTTTTCCTCTTGTTCCTGCATGCCCTTTTTTCCCACAGCTTATCAAGTTAGTGTATCTTTAAGGCTTCAACTCTCTTTCAAATCTGCCAGAAACCATACAAGAAATTCAGTGGTAGTGGGAGGAGTCAGAACTGATGAGTGTGCATATGCAAATATGGAACACATGTAAAACATTTTCTTTTCTTGAGAAAGCTAGCTAAAAATTTGAATGTATACCTGTTTTTCTAAATGATATGTAAACTTTAGTGCCGAGCATGCTACAGTTTTAGAGAATCTCTTGAAAGCAGGCATCAGAATTACACCTATACTACTGGTGCAGTGGTTCAGAATATTAATATGTTGCAACCTAAATGAACAAACATTTTCTAATGCAAGGAATCCTCTTATTTGTGAGGATTATGATTGTGAAACACCCTGCTTTGCACTGAAGAATGTAGCAGCTAGGAAGATGGAACCTAGCAAGTCTATTTGGAATATACTGTATTATTGTAGTAAAGTGTTTCATTTTGTGGTGAATTGAGATTCTGATTTTTTTTTGTTTGTTTGTTTTCCCACAGGACAGTTTGCAGAAAATGAAACAAATGAGGTGAATTTTAGAGAGATCCCATCCCATGTCCTATCCAAAGTATGCATGTATTTCACCTACAAGGTCCGCTATACTAACAGCTCTACGGAGATTCCTGAATTCCCAATTGCACCTGAAATTGCACTGGAACTTCTGATGGCTGCAAACTTCTTAGATTGTTAAATAAAATAAATTATAATAAAAATGTAAAACTTTTTTCAGTATTTAATACATGTAGTTAAGTTAGTAACTTTTTTCAGATAGCATGTTGCGTGTGTGCTGTTGAGAACTGTTAAGTTCACTGCAGAAGCAATTGTCTTCAGTCCTTTTGCATATAGCAATCATTCAGTTGAGATTTGTTTTGCTGCTTACACAAATAAGGACCTTTTCACAACTGAGACAAATAAACAAATATGCCAATTAGTAGATGGCTATGCCTTATCCTTTAGGTGTGGTAGAATTTTCTTTTAATACAATGACTGTATAAAATACTGGAGTTTAGCCTAATGCTCTCTAAAAGGTAATTATAGTTAAATATAAGTAGCTGTTTAGGATTTCTAACTTTCTCTTATTGTTAAAGTTTCTAAACATCTGAACTTAATCTCCTTTATAAGGTGGCTGTTCTTTAGAGTACTTATACTAACTAGATTAGAAGTGACCTCTCTAAGGTTTGTATACTGACAGCAATATTCCATTTAAGTTGGAAGCAGAGTGTGTAGGAAAATGTTTAAGGCTTTTAATTTAATCATCATTTAGACAAGTGAAGAAGTGTATTTGAAGCATTTTTCCTTTCTAACCTGAACTTTCTCCTTCAGTAATGACAAATATTCAAGTCACTAGTCTGTACAGTAACACTGTGATCGTACTGACAGTGGCTTTTAATCTGTGTATATTCTGTGTAACATATGAAGTTGTTCTTAATGTACTGTCATTTGACCTGATATGGATTCTATATAGTTTCAGTTATGCTTTATTTCCATTGTTGTGGTGGATTATGTACTGTATTTAATCTTTAGATTAGCAGTCATTCCAGTTTTCTAAAATAGCAACTGAAATGATAGCAGTTATCCTATTCTTTACCTCTTCCCTGACCTCTCCCTTCAATCCACAGAAAAAGACCCTAAAAGTGGAGGCCTTGTATTAGATGGAAAGGGCATTAAGGAGATGTTTAAGGAGCTTTTTTAAATAAATGTAATATAGTTATTTCCAATGTTTTTACAAATATTTTAGAGGAAAAGGATTGGCAAGCCACTCACAAGCTAGAGTGAAGCACATTAGCTCTTATTAATTCCTGCTCTAATTGCCTATACAGATGGTTCTTAGTTTAAAACAAATTTCCATGAAGCAAAAAAGGAGAAAAAAAATGAAAAATTAAACTGAGATGGAGTTGCTTCTTGTTCAGTCACGGCCTGAAGAACCCTTCTGCCAAAGTAATCTGTAAATGAGCATGTGTCATGAAAAGCAATGCAAGAACAATGTAGTTAGCATTTCCATCAGCTGTCTCTGATTCACATTTTTGATTAAGAAATGATTGTAGTCTTTTATGGAAAAGTCCCACTAACAGATGCTGGGATCTCTTCGTTAATATGTTAACTAAGGGTGAAACTCTTGTCTAAGCCTGATTGCCAACATCAATACAACCTTTGAGGTTTTCCAGACAAAAAATGGTAACTTGCATAGGCTACTCAGTCTGCCTATGGAGGAGTTCAGTTCTGACAAATCAACTTACTCTGGACTTGAGCAATGCTTGAGAGACAAGCTGACATACGTCAACATGTTGGTAGATGAACTGATGTTAATTCACATCACATACTTTGGCATAATTTATCATGTTTAGTGTGGGGATGTTTATGATTAGATTGGTTTTGCATGATAAAGCTGAAGTGTGTTGCAAGGCGATTGTCTGAAATCCTGTGTCTGAGCACTATGGTCACTGCTATAAGTAACTCATTTTCAAGAGCACTAAAAAGAACACAAAACAGAGATCCTGTTATGCTGCTTTTGTTAGCACCGGTAGGAATATACCCTAGAAGCTGAAGAAGTACTGACATAGATGTTTAAGTTCCAACTACATTGCAGGCTGAGAGGTCTTAAGTTCTTCAGTCATTTTTAATAGCCCTGAAGTCAGTGACTTGAAACTCAGACTGTTTATTTTTACTTCCACTTTAAGCTGATGTCATTAAAAAAAATAATAATAATTTGTTTTAAGCATTCCAAAACAACCTCTTCTTGAAATACATTGCATTTTATGATTCCATGCTTCAGCAGCAAGATAAAATACCTGTTTTATTTCTGAATGGTAATTTCATTGTTTTTCCTTCAGCTTGATGTATCATACAGTAGCTTTGAACACTCAGGAAATGCAGTAGTGTCCTAGAACACGCTATTTGCAAAACCACTGGCTGTTAAGAAAACTAACCTGCAGATTTCTAATGGGGAGGGGGGCAGAGGGAATTAGTGCAATTTATTTGGTAGCAACATGGGTATGCTATTAACAGACATTGGAAAAGTACCACACCTAATCCCTAAGTTCTAAATAAATTTCAAAATTGAAAATTTTTAAAACTGTGTTTTTGTGGATTTGTGACTTATGTAGAATTATAATTTTCGTGAATGTGTGATGAATAAGTTGCTAGTGTTAGTGTTAGCATTTGAGTTACAGGTTTTGAAACATGTATAATATTAAGAAGTTTTTTCTCCTAGTTCTGAAGAGTTTTGTTGATTTAGTCAGTGTTTGATACCTTTGTGCTCCTCCTAACTGCAACAATTCTTAGTTCTTAAAACAGTTCTTAAAAGAAAAGGCCTAATACTGAGAGAGGATGGCATTTCTAACTGCCTTGAAGAGGATATTTTAAGGTTCCATGTTCTATAATACTGAATTCCCTTCTGCTTAGCCTGCTAGTATCTGATTTTTTGCGATTTTATCTGATGTGCATCTCATTGAAATTTTAAACATTGGCCATGAAAAGTTATACATTCTTTACTAAATGCTGGGTTATGATTTTTTCATAATACAAGGTACTGAAGAAGTCTCTGATGGCCTCCAGCATGAAATGGCTTGTTCATCTGGAGCAATCTGAAATATGTTTTACAATACAGGAAATTCCCTTTTGGTTCTGAGGTTTAAAAATGGAGAACTTGTCATCAAGACTCACTAGGCCATTATATTCAACAACTGCATTCAACACATTCTTTAAAAAGAATTGCTTAAATAGTAGCGTAGTTGCTTCTGGCGGCGTTTTTATTGGTATATATATTGTCATTTGTAGTCATGAGTTGCTGAAGTGGCTATTTCCCCTCCTCCCTTTTTTTGTTTGTTTGTTTTTTTTTTTTTTTTTTTTTTTTTTGCAGTGCCTTCAAAAGGAATTTCCCAACACCTATCTAAATCTGTTGATTCATATGATAAACCACAAGGAAATTATTGGCATAGTAAATTTTTTCAGTCCATGTTTTATGACAACTTATATTTGTTTTTAAATTTTGTCTCAAATGTTGCATTGTAATTTAAGAGTACCAGCTATTGCAGGGTTGACAAAATCACAGTAGTGTATAGGAATCAGTGAGAAACAGCTTATTTGTCCTAGCTGAAACTAAAAGTGGAGACTGAGGTGCAAGCTTAATTTCAATGTGAACAACTGAAAAAATAGCAGGAAGGCTTTTTTTTTTAAGGTTGGGTAGATTTAGATATTAAACTATAATGCTGTTTTTAAAGTACTGATAGCCCAAAGCTTTGAAATTAGAAGAAATTTTTTCCCCATAGAAAATGTTCAACTTTGAAGGTTTTTTTTTTGTTTTTTTTTTTTTTTTTACAATAAACTGAAACTGGATTTCCTTTTAAATATAGCTTATTAAGTGGTGATGTGATGGAACATATCAACACTGTGACCTTGATGTGTTGCACAACAACTGGGAGAGCCAGACAAGCACACAGTAGATGTGGTGATTATTAGTCATTTATGAAGCTTGTTTGAGTGTTGGCAGTAGGGCAGCACTGAGAAAAGAATGGTGACTTTTTATAAGTTCAAGTTTTTAAAAGTGTTGTATACCATGAAATAAAGTTTTGAGCATGTTACTTCTGCAAACATAGGTTATGGTGCAATCTCTTCTCTTTGGGAGAGAAAGGTCACTGAGATTATAAAAAAAAAAAAATAAATAAAACATTCTGTCATTGCCATGTTACTGTTTTATGTTTACAGAATAGAGGATTTTCCTCCCACACTATATGGGTGGAGAACCTAGGACGTAAGAAAGGTCAAAATTACTCTGACAAATGGAGTACTTCACCCTTTTCTCCTCCTGAACATGACATTAGTCATGTAATGATTTGTAGCCTCGCTTGTTGAGTGTAGAATTGGAAAATTAAAATTGCCCTTAAAATATGTTCAGCATTTTAGATTGGTGAAAGTAACAACTTAAGAGTTTTCGGATAATGAACTAAAATCCTGGCAAAGAAGTTACTGGTTCTCAGGATAGTGTTGTGCTATGAGTTTTGGGGGAACGTAGACAGTTTTGGTGATTTAATGGTACTCCATATTTATTACCTTTTTTTTTTTTTTTAAGTTATAAATACAATGAATTCTTTCAGTATTAATTATTAATTAAAACTGACTTTTTAGATGAGAATTCACAGCTAAGCTTTTTCTTCCTATTAAAAAAATACTACAGATACCCAATTGCACTTAATAATAGAAAATAGTAGAAAGTCTTCAAAATGCCTGCTATATGAAGCAATAAGTAATCTGTGATTTTTGCCTTTGGTTGCTATAAATTCTTGTTATTTTGCTTAGTTAAAAAAAAAAAAAAAAAGGAAATATTTGTTAGACTGTTTATTTCTCTTGCATAAATGGTTCTTGGTTTTGTTTGGTATCACTGAGACTGAAAAATATCTGGGATCTATTTGCATTTGGCATAAAGGATTTCGTTTAGCTTTTTATATAGGGGAAAGGTTTTCTGCATTACTGTAGTAGACTGGATGTATGTTTTTCAGAAGTGAGACTCCATTTCAGTCAGAATTATTTCTAGTCAGTTACTTGAAACATAAATGATCTATCCATTATACACTATCATTTAAACTGTAGTCATAGAGCAATTATGAAAACTACTTCTTTTAGGAGAACTGTTTGAAATATTTAGCTGAAATAGTCAAGTTATCTAGTCATCCTTCTTATTTTCTTAACATAGGTAAGACTTTGTTTCAGGGCAGACATACCATGTATGAAGTCTTATCTTTCTTGAGGAGTTTTAAAAAGCAAACAGAAAGAAGCCCTAACCAACAGGCTGAGTCAGTGATGTCTTTGTGTACAAGCCTGCAAAATAGAATTTTCTAAGCTGTGGTGGCCAGCAAAGATAGTGCTCAGTGTGATGTGCACACCTGGGGGGTTCGTTTTTCATCTTTGAGGAGATGTGATGGCTTACTGCACGGCTGCACAAGTCACCTGAGAAGTCACTTCAGCAGTTTTGGTTCTAGATTTGCATGACCAAACAGCAACATAGATTGAAAATCCCTTATCAGTATTTATCTTCTTCATTGGTTGTAAGTATGAGTCACTTCTGTTTAAAACAAAATCTATTCATATACCCCTTGGGCTTACCTGAGAAGCTTTCAATTCACAGTCTTAATAAAAGATAAAAACAACAATAAAATAACTAACACAAAAACCTAAGCAATATTTATATTTAAATTTTAAATGTATTTCTTATCACTGAGTAGAGCCTGAGCTCTTGTATGTGATAGATGCAGTAATCATCCCACTTACAAGAGTTCTGGAAAATGATGCTTTTATGTGCAAGAACATTTAATAATTACATCATGTCACACTATTTAATCTGTTTATCTGTTTTATCAATTATGGATCCTATGCTGTCCTTGCTATTTAAGTTTTATAGCTATGGCATTTTAAAATATATAAGTTTACAGGATTTCTAAGAGTCAGAAGAGTACTGGTGCCAAAAACATAGTTTGACAATTAAGTGTTAATTGCAATATACTGCTGAAACAGACAGTTCCCCTCCTTTCCCTGCCCTGTGTCCTTCTTCCCTTGCAGTAATTACAACAACTGTGTGCTCACAGAATAGAACAGATTGTTTTTCTGATCTAATGGAAAATGATTACGTGTGATGAAGCCCTGCCCTCCTGGAAGTGGCTGAACATCTGCACGACAGTGGGAATTAGGAATGAATTCCTGATTTGGCTTTGCTTGTGCACGCAGCTTTTGCTTTACCTATTAAACTATCTTTTCTTGAATCCATGACTTCTCACCTTTCTGATTCTCTTCCACATCCCATTGAGAGGAAGAGAGCGAGTAGCTGCGCAGCACTTATCTGCCTGTCAGGGTTAAACCACAACGGGAGTTCAGTCTTCCAGTGGTTAAGCTGAAAGGTACAAATAGTCCAGTAGCTGCAAAATAGCTAAATCCTACATAGTAGAAGAAATGAAAACATATGACATCTTAGAACAGGCTCACCCTCTTCTGAAGATGCTGCATTTGCAGCAACTTGGGAATAAGGTAAAAACTTACCCTTAGCCTGCATTTGCTCCTTTGAAAGACCTGAGACAGAAGTAGTAAATGTGCCCCTTAGTATTCTCAGCTAAGTAAGATAAAAATGGAAGAAACAATTGATGAAAATAAGTAAGTAATAAAACAGCAATTTCAAAGGTAAAAGACATCTTGAAAATTCAGCATGTCTTTCATTTTTAGCTATGTATGCATTCTTTTGTATTCTTGATATACTTTTGTCTTGGTTTGATTCTATGCCTTTTGCTAGTATGACACAGACAATGCTTTCTGCAGGTGCGTCAAGCTTGTGTTTATTAGATCTCTGTTCCAGAGATGTTTTAAGCTCAGTGCCTATGAGCCTGGCAGTGGAAGAAGTTGGCACAATTCCTCCGAGGTATGTAGTCCTCTGTACTCCTGAGACGTAGTCTCCTGGCACTGCAGATTATGGTTGCTATGTCACTGGAACTACAAAGGGAGGTTGATGTCAATGCGCAGCTAACTTCTGTGGGAGAAAGAGATAAGATGGAAGGCTAAAATGAACAGTGCGCTCAGACAAAAGAAACCAAATATGTGTTGTTATAGTGGAGAAAGAATGATATAGGGAAAAGGGGAAAGCAGAGGAATAAATATTGGTAACAATAATGGAGGAAATGGAATGTAAAGAATTCTGATCAATAAAAATAGCTAACCTTTGTAAAACTGGTTGGATAGATCAGAAAATTATCTGAGAAATGCAGATTGAATATTGATTGCATTTTTTTCTGTGAACACAAGGTAATGCAAACTACATAGAAAAGTGAATTTTTAAATCCAATTCATGAATATTTTCAGATATATTTTTAGTAGGAGGTACAGTTGCAATTTTCATGATTTGCATTACATATATTACTTGGGTGAATCATTATCATGCATTTGATCAGACCAGAGCAAGATAAATCCAGAAATAATGAAGATATCACATTAAATTCCTCTTACCTCTACAGTTTTTTGTGTTTGTGATCTAGGACCACAGTATAGGAAGCTTCTGGCAAAAACCAAAGTTGGCTTTTGCAGCGGGACAGGGCTGCACTAGCCTTAATACTAAAGCTCTCTTTCACACAACCAACCACAAATCTTTGAGTTCCTGCATTGACCATCTCTACAGCTGCAACAGATGACAGGTTAAGTGCACAAGTGATTTCTCTCATATTTTGTATAAGTAAGGGTCAACACCAAAATGAACAGTAAATTACACTATAACCAATACCTTGTGAAATCTACCCACACTGGGATTTGGATCTTTTTGGTGTTTAGATTACTGAGTAACTTTGAATAAAGAATACTATAAGCCATCACAAAGTCAGGGACAAAACTGAAAGGAAGAAAATACTTGTATTCATTAAACTCTTCCTGAAAGTCTGCTAGTAAAATTTTTTTTCTTGCTGTGCTCAAATTCCTATGACATTATGCACTGTAGAAACACTTATTAATAATACTGCATCCAATTCAGGTTACTGAGGTATTGGGAGGGGATAATTCTCCAGCTGCCCCTACTGCAGTGATAATGATGAGGTAAAGATTGCACAAATATATCAGTCAATCTCATGACAATTGAAAAAAAACAAAGATGTGTAATGTAAAATAGACCTTTTGTGTAAGAGCAACCTAGAAGTTTATGGATTCTTCTGATCACAAGTTTCAGCTGCAGAGTAACTGTTCAGTTTCATAAAATTGGTTAAGATAGGCTGGGAAATAGCCCATCTCTGCTTTATAATTTCTGTGAAGGGCAGGTCCTGAACCTTGCTTCTCACATTTGTTATCCTGAGGAATCGGATTTGCTGCTAGATTAAATAACTTCAGTAAACAATATTTTATCCTAAAATGCAGGAGGTGTCTTTATTGTTAACATTGAAATCTTTGATGATTTAAAAAAAAAAAAAAAAAAAAAAAAAAAAAGACCTTGAACTTAAGCATGGTTAAAGAGTCTGAATTTTTGCTAAAGCCACTTCTTGCCCAGAGATTATTTATCTTTATTATAAGCTGAATATATATTTCTATTGATTACAGTTGTTACATACACTTTTATGCCTCTTCATAACTTCTGACCTTCATCAGTGTTTTCTAGAACAAGATTAAGAGACTGAATATAATGGATTCAAATCAGTTTTGTCTCCCTGTGATTATATCAACAAGAATAGTCAATATGTCCATGTTTATAGCTGAACACATGTCCATTGCTTAAACTTGATGTTCTTGCTATCTTTGTGGCATATGGCATTAAGAAATGTATTTTAGGATAAACATATGCTTGAATCATGCAAAAATAACAACATCTAGTAAAACATTTACAGCAACAGCAATGTTCAGCTTGATACTGTAACTGCCCAAGACAGTTATGAAGAACTGTGGGGGAAAAAAAACCTTCTATATCTATTGAAAGCAATAAATTCTCTGTGATCTAAAACATATTGAGAGATCATATCATGTATTAGCAGTAGCTTCTAAGAAAGCACAATGCTGTGGCTTTTGACACTTCAATGTCACTTAAATGAAGGCAGTAGAGCAATGCCAGCTTGCAGGGCTTCAGGGGCCTATCATGTATGACTGAGAACTGAGGTTGGACTTAGAGGGCAAAACGTATAGGATTCAGCTGACATCGCAATACTACTTCCATCCTTACTTCCATTGGGATGGTCTCATTTCCTACTCAAATGCACATATATTCGTTTCTATCATCAGCAAATTCCTCCAAAGCCCATAGGCTCATTCCTTTCTGCAGCTAGTTCATGGAGCAACGATACTCCTCCTGCCTTCTATTGGTCTTTTTATGCAGAACACTGGAGTTTGTACGCTTGCTTTACCAACGGTAACACTGCTGTCACTGAAACAATTTGGAATCTGATGCCACGTTGTGCTGAGCTTCTGTTTTTCTCCAGGTAGCCATTCTCAAAGTTGAGGATAAAAACATACCAGAAGGTAACACTTATAGCTGGAAGCAATACCTTGCGTCGCATCAAATAACGTGATTACAGAAAGTAAGCAGGCTCTCAGATGTCTCAGGCTCATCTTTACTCCTAAACTTACAGTGGCAGATTTCAAAGGCAAATATAAACAGAGAACTATTGTTCAGCCATTTAATTGGATCTACACCCATTAGGCCACTGTCAAAAGAAAAATCGGGTGCTGCCTGTGGTGGAGGGGTGATCCAAGAGGGTTCTGTGCATCATCACAAAGTGTGACAGATGTGAGGGGAATCAGAAAGCCCCCTGGAACACACAGCTAGGTTAGCAGGGAGACAGGCTGTAGCTATAAAGCCTGCATCTCTACTAAGTCTTTACGTTTGTGTACATGCTAACATTAAGAATTCTACAGGGTTGTCTTCAAAAGAAGCACTGTGTACGTTTATTTTAAGAACCAGATAGGTCTGAAACACTCAGGTGGGAGTAATGGCTATACAGCAGGTGTTTCCACAGGGTGCTGCTTTATGGGCTGCGTGCAGGTTGACTGCGGTGCTCGTTTGTGCTCACCTACACGGCCACCGCAAAGGCACCCGGTGCAAAAGGCACAATAATTCACTCCAGGAAATGAGAACAATCCAGAAATGCTCCCATCTGAAATACGCCCTTGCCAGTTCGGGCACGTCTGTCCCTGCAACGTCAGGGAAAGAAAGAAAAACAAAAAAAAAAAACCGAGAAAGGCAGCAGTGTTGCACGGGAGGTAAAAAGCAGCTTCTTCCTCCGTTAGGAACAACGTCAGCAGCGCAGCACAAGCGGAGCGGCGCCCGGCTTTAACGCGATCCCCGCCGGCCGTTTGGTGCCACCCCGCCTCAGGCGGAAGCGCTACCCGCAGCCGCGCGTCCCGGCTCCCCCGCTCAGCCGGCGTTTCCCAGCGGCCCCGCGCTAGACGGCCCCACCGCAGGCGGCGCACCCTCCGGGCCAGCCGGCTGCAAGCGGGGCGGCAGGAGGCCGGCAGAGGCCCGCGCCGGCTCTTCACCCCTCCCACGCGGTGAGGGCAGCAAGACCAAGGACAAAACCCGCCCGCCCGCCTCGCCAGTCAGCCTCGATGCCCGCCCGCACCGCCTCCTCCCGGCGCATGCGCGGCCCTGCGGCCACGTGACCACCGAGGGCGGGGAGGGAGACGGGCGCGCGGCGCTGCGTCTGTGAGGGTGCGGGCTGGCGGCGCGGTGGGAGGGGGAGGATCCATCATGGCGTCCATGCAGGTGAGCTGCCTGCGGCGAGGCCGGCTGCGGGGCCGGGAGCCGGGGCGAGCCGTTCTCCTGAGCGGCGGGAGCGCTGTGGGGGAGTCGTGCGGGCGGTTGAGGGGAGCGGCGGGTCCGACCGGATCGTTTGAGGAGCGAGTGGAGTCCGGCAGGGTTGGGGCGAGCTGAGGGGCGAGGCCGGGCCCCGGCTGTGGAGAGGGGAGAAAATGGGGTGGGCAGCGGCCTTGTGGGGAGGTAAGAGGAGTAGGGCTCAGGGAGCGAGCCGCGTTGGCCCAGCGGGCACGGCCCCGACCCGGAAAGTCCTCGGAGGTGAGGTGAGGGGATAAGAGGGGAGGCCCCGGCACTGCTCCTGTCCCTTGGCGGGGATTGGGGAGCCGGGCGGTTTGCTGGGCGCGGGGGCATCCCATGGAGACCCCGTTAGGTCCGTGGCAAGGGTGTGGGCAGGGGCTCCGTCTGTCTGGGGCTGTAACTGTCGCCGATGGGGGCTGCGACAGGCGGGCTCGAACCCGCGTGGCCCTGTTGTCCCCTCTGTGTAAAACGAGATCGTGGTGCGGCTTCGGTCCTGCGGCCGGCCGGCCGGCATCTGGTTTGACTTGGATGGATGGATGGATGGGGCTGCTGGAGGTACGGTGGCGTGAAACACCCTGCTGCTTGACAGGTCTTTCCGGCTGAATTATTTATTCGTACCTGCTCCGAAGGAGTGAGTCTTAAATAGTAGCTGCAGAAATTGCTCTGCGAGAATGGATCGCTTTCACTGCGTGCTGTTTGGAGTGGATGGGGATTTACTGTGACGTGTCCAGGTCGAAGGATCGCTGGGTTTGGTGGCTGTAGTCTCTATATTTTCTTACCTCACCTATAACTGCTCTGCTTTACCTTAATTCTTTCCATGCTGTTTTTAAATGTAGATGGTTGAGTACTTCTGTTTTCTTTTTCCAATTGCTGTTTCTTTTCTTGTTTTCATTCTGTGTTTTTTTTTTTCTTTTTTTTGTTGTTACTAATTGGACAACCCTGGAGTGTAGAAATAATCAGATTAATTGTCCTGATAGCCCAGCTTTAGTATTAGCGGGAGTTAAAATGTCAGAACAGTGAACCTTTTGGGGTAAAAATTGTACTGGTAATGTTTAGTGCCATAAAAATAACTGTGTGTCTTTCTGAGTTATTGAAATGAAATGGGATCAAGAACTCGAACGCACTTGAACATGCTGTACAGAATGTTCTTGATTTAGCAGTACTTTAGACAGATAGTCTGATGCGTCTTTGATTTATCAGCTTAGTCTGGCAGATGCGTTTTTGTAATGCTTTTTTTTATGGTCGAACTTCACAAGCTCAAGTGCAGAATTGAGGCAGTCATTCATGAAGCAGAACCTTTTATGAAGCAATGTAGGGTGAAAAACAACAGGGAAGTGACAGTTCTAAAACGAAAGAGGGAGGCACTTTATGGGCCTCTGTAAGCCTGGGCTGTGCTGCTCTGTTTGGCCTATAAAATGACCTTCTGCAGCTTGCCTCACCCTTGTTCCTGTTGATCCCTTTTGAAAAAGAGAAATAGTGATTACAAAAAGTGAGGCTGTTTAGGATACAGGAATGACAAATACTGTCTCAAAGATCGGTTGTGTAGAGGTTGTACTCTTCCTGTAAACATGCCTATAGTAGGTCTAATGTTGTAATTGCTTCTGTTTTAGATATAGTTGCTGTAAGATTATACTTTAAATTTTGCTCTTTTGTCTTTTGATGAGACAAATTTTCAGAGTTCTTTTTGTTTACATCCTACTATTTGTATAACATTCTGAAATAATGACTTTTTTTCTGAATCCATTCACTTTGGCTATATTAAAAATCTAGAAGAATGGAAAAGAAATTCCTTAGGAACTGTTGTTCTGAGTAAGTGGGAAAGCTAAACCTTTGTACTGTAAAGACATAAGTTTCCCAATTTTGGACACTCCTATTGGTGAACAAAATAGGAAGGCTCTGAATTCTTCTAATGAAGAACATTTTACAAACAACAGAAGCTGTTGTATGTAATTCAAAGTGATTTTTCCATTCAGCGTTATTGAATTAATCAGTGCTAACATTTAATACACAAGTCTGTCTCCGTACTGTTATGGCAGTATCATTGGTGTTTTTGGTAAGAACGGTCTGTTGGTACTTAAAAGACATTTCAGTCTGTATTTAAGCTGCCATAATTTTGTACAACGATATAATGCCCTTGATCGTTGTTTTTAGGTATTCACTGAAATTTCTTTGTTTAGCTTAAAGCAACATAGCCATCATAGAAGGAAAGCTTTGAAACTGTGTCAAATCGCTGCTTTTTGCCATGGTCAGCGAAGTAGCTACTCAACCTGTGTAGCTGCTGTGGCTCAGTTGATGGGTTGTAACTCATAAAACTTGTGAGTATGAGTCATTGTGTGCATATTGAAGTTTTATGATTTGTTTATGCTGGACACCTGTTGTGGTAGGTTACTGTAAGGCTTCTGCAAGAATAATGGAAGTCAGTGTTGTTGAGATCCTCTGTCTTGCCTTATAACCACTCTATGGTCCAAAGTGTTGTCTAACACTGTTGGATTGATTTAAACCTCAGTTAGGCAAATGGTGTTGTTTTTTTTTTTTTCCCAAGAATTTCTCATGAAAGTCCAAGCTTGTGCAACTTCTTCCTGGAAAAAAAAAACAAAAACAAAACCCTGTAAAATTGTGATTACTGTAGAGCAAGTGAATGGAATGAACTTGCTTAAGAAAATTTGGCATTGCATCTTTAGTTTTAAAGCTAGAGATGATGTAAAATATATAATTTCTGTGCTAAGTATTGCATAGTCAGTGCCTTTTCCCAAGCCCACAAGTATCAACTGTTTGCATCTAAACCTTGGAAGATCACTATATCTGGAACGCTGAGGTCTTAACTGTTCCTGTTTTACATCTCTTCATTCTTAATGCTTGAAGCTTTGAGTTGTGGCAGGATGCATTTAAGTGGCTTTCGCGAACACATCTGTGGGAACTGCTTTAGCTGTGTATTTTATCACCTCTGGTCTTTTCATTATGTTAAGCACATGAGGCTTGTACCTGTAGGTATTTAAAACTGATTAAATTCAAAGCTAATGTAATTAATGACACAAGCAACTTTAGTAAAGATTGTAGATTGTTGGCCTTCAGCATGCATTTGTGTTATCAGGACTTTGGTTTTTTGCCCTTGAAAACTGCCTGCTGTGACGCCACCATCAAGATACATGCACACATCAAAATCAAAGTGCTACTGTAAAAGCAGTGTTTTCCAAATGTAAGAAAATGTAAAAGCTTGTTTTCCAAATGTAAGAAAATACAACGTTTGGAATATACCCACATTCATTTTAACTTCATTGTTTCTGTTTCATTACCAGCTCCTGTAGTCGTAGTTGAAGTTTCTGTTTGCAGCTGATCTCAGAAAAATTGCTTATTGCTCAATAGTTCTTTGGTATTGACAGTGGTTTATTTAATAATTTGGAAATAATTGTGTTTTTATCTATTTGACAGCTTTGTCAAGAACAAAAAATCTAAAGTATATTCAATAGAACTTCAAAAAAAGAAGGTGGAGTGGGTGGGAAGGAGAGAAGGGAAGGGCAAGAAAAGAACTTCAATGGGTAAGATTTAAATTTGAGTGGAACTTCAGTGCTGTTGCACGTGTTCTGTGCTGCTGGAGGTCACAGCACAGAACGTTATTTCTGTTATTTTAAATTAAATATTTTAAAAATGAGAATAAAGTAAGTAGCTGCTATAGCTTTATGACCAATTCTGAGATGTAAACACAGTGGGATTACTGGTAGTAACTATGTGAAATAGTAATGCCTCTTGGTGAAATACTGTTGAAGATTTAAATAATAATAAAATATTAAAACTAGAAGATGCAGATACCACAATTGAGACCAGAACAAGCAGAGAGTAAAAAGCATTTCTTCTGTCGACTGAGTGGTTGCCAGTCCTTTGTGTAACCTTCAGTTATCAGTCCGTACTGCGATGGAGCACATTAGTTTGGGCTTACAGCCAAAACGGAGTGAGATAAATGTAAAGTTTGTATTTGTTTTTACCAAACTGAATTTGTTTAATCTGTTTTTTTTTTTTTAATTAACTGCTTAAAATGGGTTGAAAGTCCATTGAAGATTTACAGCTATTCAGTAAAAATAAAACAAAAATTCTTTTAGGCCCTAAGGAGTCTCACATGCTTGTTTTTGTATCTACACCTGTATAAAATGCTTTGGGAAATACTTAGCTGTGCAGCAGCTGCAGAATTTGTGGATTAGAATAGAAGAATTCCCTTTATAAATAGAAGGCAATGGGAGACTTCAGTTTACTAGAAACTAATATACCTGGCTAGGAGTAGATTTCTTTCCCAAATAGGCTAATTGCATGGCTGGAGTATGGAAAACTATGAAAGCTTTCTACCTGCTATTTTGAACGTTGATGTTGCATCAATGTGTGTATTATTTAAACGAGTAAAATAAGAGCATGCAGATATTTACTGTGAAGAACTTTTATCCAGTTGATTCTGGACATTTTTTGTTTGTACTCTATTCCTGCTCTTAGGCTTGAGAAGGAGAAAAGAGAGGACAATAGATTTGCAAAAGCTAGGGAATGTTGTCTTGCTAAGCTGTGCCCTTGGAAAGCTCTGGGTTTGTAAATAATAAGCTAAAGCAGCTTAGTTTAGCTGAAATAATGAGCAAAAGGTAGGTAGGTGATCAAGCACTTCATTTGTTTGGTCAAAATCCATCAAGCAAAGATTTCCAGACTAAACGCTCTTCACTATGAAGCTATGGGCTGTAGTGGTGATAGTGCAGGAGGTTAAGTGGTTAAATTACCCCATCTAATATGAAAGAGGCAAGGCACAAGTTCCGTGAACCCTGTGCATTGTTATAGATGTGCTCAGATAGATTTGCTATAACGATCCTGTCTCTTATGTAGCCTCCTTTCACATTCAAAAGAAGAGCTTTCAAGGAGTTTGCAAGCTGAGGTTGGTGGTGGCAAGGATGAAGTTCTTTTAC